AAAGTTGAGGGTGAAAGGTACAATGTGGGAGGGCAGCAAACAAATCATACAAAGTTACTAAAGAAAAGGAAAGGCAAGAGTTGGAGTGAAAGGGGCCGAAGAAGTTGGAAGRAAAAAGGAGGAAGAAAAACTGAAGACTGCATCAATGCACATACATGTGTCAAAGTGTTTGACAAAAGTGTATCAAGGGGAACAGATGACTGTTGAACAGCGTATCCTGCCTCACAGTAGGAAGATATCCATTCACTGACCGCAGCCCGCAAGCCAGATGAAGTGTGACCGTCTGGTGGTCAGACTGGACCTGAAGACTTTCCGCTGTTGCAAAACACTTCCTGCCTGCTGTTTTCATGTAATGTGACCACTCAGTTTGCTCCCCTGCCCTACTTTAAGTTGTACAATATGTTATTTCTATGGTATTTCTAATGCCCACTGAATAGACTCTCCAGGCCCACTGGACTTGGACAAACTCCACATGAGCAAAGAATGATCTGACTGTCCAACACGTGTTAGTCTTCATTTTGACTGGTGCTCTCCCCAGGGGGAAGTGGGGCAAGAATTATGATGATCAGAGTTGCAGTCAGATTTGACAAGGTAATATGCTGTCCCTCTGCTGTTTTTTATAAAATGCTCCACATGAAGATTTGATGAGCAGATTTGGAACCTAAAGAAGCATGGAACCAGCAGGAAATTAAATAAACAGAGAAACTATGAGGCAGAAAGGTGGACTTTCTTCATAGTTAAACTGATATCAGTATCTGAAACACAGCATTCAGCCCTTGACTTGACATTGATTTTACAAATAAGTAAAACTAAACAAAAAGTGATTTCTTCAACTCTTAAATCCTTGAAATGTATTGWAGCTTTATTCAATTTATCCTGGATTTGCTCACTCCTGCTCGATGTATAAACTCTGCAGCAGGCTCAGATTTCTACTCTTTGTCTGCCAGAGACCTGTTTGTGGCTGCTATGGTATTCCACGCTGAATGAGTCATGTCTGGTGGTTATTATGGGCAAACGTTTGCAACAGCCCCACCTCCCTTCTAGCTCTCACTCCGTCTACTGGCTGCATACAAAATTACTAGTTGTTTAGAGGCTCATCCAACAAAGCTGACGATCTGTTCTCATCTAACCTGGCAGGATGACTTAAGACAATTTTTTTTAAGGATTCAAAACTTGCTTGTGTTTTGAGGATGATGATGATATCAAAACTAGAAATCACTCGTTTATTTTCTGTACCTACTTAATTTGGTTCAGGGTAACAAGGAAGATGGCAACTAACCCAGCAGGCAAAGGACAACAGGCATGGTAAGCCCTGGACAGCTTGCTGTCCATTCCCGGTCCAAACAGAAAAAAAGAGACAAACAACAATTCAATGACAGTACACTCACAAACACGCACAAGTTTGTTTTTATATCCCTGTAGGGACCGTGGCTTGACTTCCCCATTCATTTTTTAGGTAATTTTATAACCTAATCCTGACCATTTGCCCTAAAATTACCCTCACAGGTACCATCCTGACCCTAAACTAACAAACTCAATTCACACCTTGGTCCTAAACCTAACACCCCACCCGAAATTAGACCGTACCCGTGGGGACTGGGCATTGGTCCCCACGGGTCCAAGTCCAATGAAGTCATTGGCCAATCAATTTGAAGTACAGCAAACATATTAAAGTCTCAACAGATAAGTATATAGTCATATTTGGGSATAACGAATAATAACAAATCTGAAAATTGAATCATAATATCCTAATTTTATTTAGGAGCACGATAGACGACAGCACAGAGCACAAGAGAGAAAAAGTCYGTTATACACAGTTGCAACTCAAAACTAGAGTAATTTCTTGTTGGAWTTAGCTGGCAGCTGAAACTCTGTTTAAAAACACTATAACAACACCACCACCACGACCTGAGGTCCAGGAGGCACTGAAAAATTCATAGCCAGAAGGGAGGAGCTCAGTAAAAACAGTATAGTCACCCACTTTCAGCCATGTTGCATTCAGTAATAGAAAATCTAAATTTTGCATTGAGATGACATCATTTAAAATACGTCCTATTAGAAAGGGACCTAGTATTCACAAGGGGACATTTTATAGACTTAGAACACTTGGTTTGCTGAACAGCGCCGTCAAGTGGGCGGAAGTTACCCAGCRCGCAGCCCTGTTTCTGGATCCTGACAGGATGCAAATGTGGGAACAAGCAGTCGGCAYCAGGTACAACCTGTTGGAGCCAACGGTAGCTGTCCTTCACAATAAGCCAGCATCGGTCCAAAACATCATACTCCGCAAGAAAAGCAGACAGCGGGTGACATCCATAAGATACAGCCATGTACTGTATGTCCTAAGTTTAATGAAGATTACACCTCTTTCTTTGCCACCTGTAGCGCTTATTGTGTTGGAATGAAGTAGCAAGATGCCATAGAAATGCTGGAACCAACACCAGTGTCCATTGTAGCCAGAAAAAGGGCAGTTAACATTTGTCTATTGTACACAAGTAGAGAGGAAAATTGTGTTATTTTGGTTCCTCTCTGGTTTTCTGTCTTGTCCTCTGTTCTTTTCCTCCTTCCTGTCTTTGCTCCAGCCCCGCCCACTCTCACCTGTTCCTCATGTTACTCTCCCAGGTGTTTCTTGTTCTTGCTCATCAGTTTTCCCTTTATATTCTGTTCATTATCCTCAGTCTTTGTCAGAGCCTTGTTGCTGGTTGATGTGTCATCTCATGGCAARTCATAGAATCTTGTTTGTTACTTTTGCTGCCACGCCAGTGTTYTGTTTTTGCTTTTGCTAAATAAAGCCCTTTTTTGCAAACTTTTTGGCCCTTATCACCCAGTCTGGGGTTCAAACCGTCCAAGCCAATCGTAACACCTTTAAGAACATTATATAACTGAGCACACTAATTGCAAATGGTGTATGAATGTGGGTAAATGAGGACACAGGTTGTGTAGTTTAGAACTTTGTGTATCTTTCATATGTTTCAGTATCTTGGGGCCCCTCTCGGTGCCTTTGGCTCTGGTCTTCCTCATTGTCTGCTTCAGGCCTTAGGGGTCAGATCTGGGGTCCCCACAGTTACTATTAAACCTTCGTATGGAGAAACCTTTCATATATATAATATATGCTCACGACTGCACACACACACACAGGTGTTCAGGTCCAGGTAGTATTTCTCCGGTACACTATGTGGAAACTGTGTTTGCCCCTAAGTACCGTTCTTTTCATTTATTTATTTATTTTTCTCCTCATAAAATTATACTGTGTAATTTTCAGCAAGGTTATAATAATTATTGACACATATGTTGTTGTTTGTTGGGTTTTCTTCTGCTTTTTGTCTACTCTCTTTTTGCAAAAAACAGACTACAAATGTGTTGTGTTTATGTCTAATGTTTATGCTTCTTTCTCTTCTCAACTATTATCTCTTTGTTTTTCTTTTAAATCTCTTTCTTTGCCTTTCTCCCTTTCTTTGCTGTTTTCTTTTCTGTCTCAATGTCTGTTATATTAAAAAAAATCCCAAAAGAATTTCTAACAAAGTTTAAAAATATATCAAGTGGAGCATCATGGTGAAAGCCATTATGCTGCGCTTGTGAAAGTAAAACTGACGGGCCTAATCTTGACACTCAGACATTTATTCYGAGTTTTATACTGCCGGACWGGACTCGGTAAAAGRAAAAAAAYAACAAYKTTGASTATCCTAGTTTATTAKAAATGTGCCATATAACTAAATTCATTGTATCATTTATTGGTCTGAATTGTGCTCACTGTTGAAGCTTTTAACATGAGGTTAACTTTTGTTTAAATACCACAGGATTCCAAACCTAAGTTTTACATAAAATATRTAATATCCATCCAACWGAATAAGTAGTTCCTTTGTTTCTTGTCTGTCTTCTGTATTTTGTCTGTCTTACTTTCGCTGCATTGTCTCATTCACCTTTCCCATTTGGAGGAAGACCAATTATTTTAAGAAAGTTTACGTAAGTAAATAGCAGATTAAGTGAACATTCAATACCTCAAGCCTTCATTGCATCAAATACCAAAACACTAAACTAYAGTACCTGACCTTATACTTATAACTTGAATGGAGATATTGCCCTCCTTTCAGAAGATGATGATGAGAATGGCAGCCAAGGCTCAGCTACTTATGGCCCTCTAGTGTTAAAGCTTGACAGTCATAAGGCTTTGGCCATAGCTGAATAAATCCACTTCCAGTTTTTATTCATGAGCTCTGTCTGGCTGCCGTCTCCTGGCTTTCAGTCCAGACAATTGCAGAGGGGGAAGTAGGGAAAAAAGGCAGGCTTTCACCTCACTGCTCAAGCTCATCAATGTTAAGAAAGTTGATGAAAAGTATGAATCTTTGTATCCTGTAAGTAGGAAATTCGTTATTGCAGATAGAAATCAGAGAGTAGAAATTCTAAAAATAGTTTTTAATGTGTCATATACCCCTAAAAAGATTGAAAGAAAAAAGAAAATGACTTCGTGCTAATATAMTTTGTTTGCATCTTTGAAGAAACCTTACTTGAATTAAAACAAATTTCATTCTGCTTTGGTTTGACATCTTTTTATCCTGTCTGTCTGCAATTTTCAAGTTGATTGGATCATGAGTTGCATAAAGCTCAGAGGGTGATGCAAGTACCGTTTAGGGGTAGATTTCCCCTGGAACACAGCAGCATGCAGCCAAAACAAACTCCAGCCGATGGTTTGCCTCTGGCCTCCCGTTTCTCTGGTCTGCTTTTAGACAGCAGCCCACAGACTCTCACTGCTTGAAGGAGGAGGGGTGAAGCAGTCTTTTYAACCCTCCCACCGACTATAAGACCAGAAGCTGACTTAAACACTCAGACCGCACACACATGTGGAGTGAAAAGGCAGAGGGAAAAAAGGACAAGGGAGGAGACAGAAAGCAAAAGAGCATGAAGCTACCGGCAAAGAACTGTTTTTGTTAGTTTAGCTTAGAGTGAAAGAGGCAACAAGAGAAACAATTGACAACATTCAAGGAAGCAACGAAACAAAACTGAAGTTTTGATTTTGAGTATTTCTAAAACTTGTTTCAAAAAGGGGAAGTGAAGAATCACCAGCTCTTTTGGATGTTTTTGTGAAGATCATCTGAGCACMTCAAGAACTTGGAATCGGAAACCACCTCTGACTGCAGAGCTGAGGTTAGGCTGATTAGACCACAACTTTAAGATCAGCTTGCTGATGCTTCAGTCTTATTGAGTGAGACTCCAAAAGAACTGTCTGATACACTTGGGAAACACTACAAGTGTACCTCTAGAGTAGGGTGTAACCGCATCTTCTGCTTCCAAACATCATCGGCAGAATCCCAGCAACTAATATAATTTTTCAAAGGAGAAAAGCAACTGGTCGTCACTCTGAAGATGACATTTGCCATGTTACGTACAGTCCCTCCTGCAGGACGCTTCTTGTATGGAGATATTGCCCTCCTTTCAGAAGATGATGATGAGAATGGCAGCGAAGGCTCAGGCTCCGAAGAGCGCACCACCAATTCCTCCACATCCTTTTGTTTGTCCTCATCATCCCAGTCTGCCTTTCACATAAAGGTAAACAGAAAGAGGAAGATGTGTGGGGGTGGAGGGCTGGGCATAGCTAGCATAGGGGCAAGGCTGGGCCCCACAGGGTCATCTCCTCCTGGGGAAATTCGACAGAGGACCGCAGCTAATGCACGTGAGAGAGACCGAACAAATTCGGTCAACACTGCATTCACAGCTTTGCGAACGCTCATCCCCACTGAGCCTGCAGACAGGTACACACATCCTTTGATTTGGTCTCATGCACCACAGCTCACTTTGTCTTATTAAGAGAAAAGAAAATGCTATTAGAAGAGCTCATACACAGATTTACTAGAAACCATATCCAACATCTGTGTTTTCTTGATTGCAGGAAGCTATCGAAGATTGAGACGTTACGCTTGGCCAGCAGCTACATCAGTCATCTGGGGAACGTGTTGCTTCTGGGTGAAGGGCTTCATGACGGACAGCCATGTCATGCACCCTCGCCACCATTCTTCCATGTTAGCTCCTCCCCCAGTCAAGGATCCGACCAATCATCTCAGCCCAAGCACATCTGTACCTTCTGCCTCAGCAACCAGAGAAAAATGGTGAGCTGGAAAACATCAGGTTGGACCAAAATCAGTGTAAAAAGGCAAAACAAAAACAATGTTCTATATAAAGCATTGTCATAAAAGCTTTTGAATAGTTAGAAGTGATGTAATATTAAAAGTAAAAAATAGAACGGGTTAATCTATGGCGATTTGGGTTAGTATTAAGATAAAAGCTGGCCTGAGATCAGTGACTGTGTATAAAAACTTGACTGACACTGAGGGTCTGTAAAAGTGCAACCTCTTTTAGAGACCATTTTCAGGGTGAAGCATGATTTATTGTGCTGTTGGGGGCTGGTTTTACTTGAGCAGCTGGCTTAAAAGTTTAAGATGGTTTCTAAAATTTGCTGCAAACTACAGTCCATACACATGGTTATTATTAGTTTCCTGTCAGATGAGCTAAAAAAAAGTTGTCTGAAAGTATGCGGTCTTTTTTCACATAATTTTAGAGGTTACATTGTTTTCTCTTTTATTTAATTTTTTATTTTTTAAATGGTTGATATAAACTTGGAGCAGTTTGAAATCTATCTGAAGGGATTTAATTTAAAGGTGATTTTTACCTGCTAAAGGACTAGAGGGCTGTTTTTTTGTACATTTTCAGACATTTACTGTTGTTTAACCTAACACGGGTCAAGGACACTAATCACGCTCAGGAGGTAGGGACGAGAGTCTGATGGGACTTCAGGTTGCTGCAGTTTAAACTTGAAACTCTTCACCTTTCCGTTTCAACTAAAAAAACACCTAGAATAAAAAGCAAAACATCTTTAAAACATATTAACAAAGTATACACCAAAACTGAAATCTTTTTGCAACTAAATGACTGCTCTTATTTGATTGATTYGGTACAATTGACGTAATCGAGAACAGTCTCGTAAGAAAGCCAGCAGCCTGACRAAAGATGACAAAAAAAGAAAAAGAAAAAAAGAATGGCCATCAGCTGAGTGAAATTCAGTATCTATGTGCCTAATTTGGATTTTAACAAACAGCACAGAGAGTGACAGAGGGTTGACGTCCACTCACCGTTTTCCTCTGCAGTCATAGCTGCTGCCCATTTAGCAGGATTTACGAGAAGGGAGCTGACATCTGACAGACTCCCCCGTTACTCCAGTGAAAGCTAACACCACTCCCAAGTGTCTAAACCCAGAGACCCTTCAGCTGAGGAATAACCTGAGTCTCAACAGGATGACCCCCCCCCCACACACACACACACACACACACACTTTATTCCCCTGCCTGCATCCCTTCTGAACTTGAGCAAGTGAAAGTCTAGACTTCCTCAGTGTCTTAACTGGTCTGAAAATCCTCTTTTTCTTACTCCTCTGTCTCCCATCCTTTTTACTTCTGTCTCTCCTCTCTGACACCCTCACTTACTTTATATCCTCTTCTCTTTTCACCCACACCTTCCCCTGTTTTATCCTTTCCCACACCGTTTCTCTGCACATCGATGAGCCTGATGTGAGTCAGAGCTGCTAGGAAGACATTTAGAGCACCACTCAGGATTTACTATCACTATCCGCAGCACAGCATGCTGCATAAAAAGTCTCACTGCTCTCCTGTGTGAGGTACTTATTGGTTATCCCTTCAATGTCTCATGAAACAAAAAGCTGAGGACACTTGAGATGAGTTACTCCAGAAATGTTCAAATGTACATACAGAGCAGTAAATCATTTAAAGAATAAAGTGCAGATGTACCTTTACAACTTCTATATTAATATACTTTTTTATACTAAAAAAATCATATTACTAATATTAGTATTGACGTATAAACTGCATAAMCCCCAATGACTTCATGCATGCAATTTCTCTTCGCTTTGCTGTGCAGTTCACCACCATTCGTTTCCAGCCCAGTTTATGGTGCAGCCGCTTCGCTCTGGTGCGAAGCACAGAGGAGGTTCGTGAAGCGTGTGCAGGAAATGCGAGATCGCACAATAAATCTTGAGATAAATGTGGAAGTCAGAGCAAAAGAATTAATTCTGTGTCAGTCTTCACAAAACCTTATGAGTGTGCAAAAACTTTATAAGTAACAAATTTAGGTTCGGTCATATAAAGCAGATTTTTCTGTGATTTTCCTGTTTAAACTTTGATGTTTCTAAGAGTTGAACTACAGAGCTCCAAAAAGAGCAAGGTCTTTTTCACTCCTTCTGTCARAACCTCACTGTCTATAAAAATACTGCTTTTTTATGTCATAAGATGAACTGCTAAAATACCTTTTTCCAAAGGAGCAGCACGATTCAAAGTAGAATCTGGTTTGTTTTAGCAAAGCTAAAGGGGGTGTAAATGAATAAAAATTGTCAACAAAAAAGCAATATGGGAGCTTCAATGATTGTACACTGAAACCCTTTATAATTAGCCATACTTAACTTGATTTAGGGTGTTTGAAATATGTGAGCCATCATATCAAAATGAGGATTAAGTCAAATTTGGTCAAAATGACCTAATTATATTTTCAGATTCTTGGCTTTAAAAGCTACATTTTGATACCTGGATCATTCTGATATCGTAATTAAATCCATATATATGACTTAATTTGTCTTGTTGGTTACAATAATGCATAATTATTTGGTCTGAATCCAAATTTTATGTCATTTTAATGAGGAATTATTGATGTCCTTATAAAGAGGAAACCTCAAATTAAATTTGAATATTGAGATTTCCCAGCTTAAAAAAATTGCTAACTCACAGGTAAAATCTCAAAATTTTAAGGCGTTTTTCCTCAAAATCAGTTTTTGTTGCTAAAAAAATGCTTCAAAATTTTGTTTTATGATTATATTTCAGATAGTTCATTCAACTGATACATTAATAAGGCTTTTATTCATTATATTTTGACAAAATGCAATTTTTGTTAACATTTTAGTCAAAACACTATATTTGCCCATTTCTCCATATACAACGTTTGGACTTATTCCTCATTTTGATGTGATGGGTCACATATATCATTAGTCTTTCATGTGAAAAAAAAAACTCCATAATTATCACACATTTATTGTTCACAAAACATGTGAACAATTGCATAGCTCAAAATAGTTTTTAAAGATAATCTCTATTTAAAAATGCAACAGAGTTGTACAATTTCATGATTTACAAACCATTTGTTGACCTAAAAAACACAAGCAGTGTCTTTTTAATAAATATCAAATGAAACTAAAATAATTGTAAATGATGAGAAGGATGGTGAATCTGGGATTATAAATATAGATAAAGCTTGCATTTCATTTTTACATTTAAATTTAAATGAAAAAAATTGTCAGACTCCAAGATTTCACCTGATGAATAGAATAGAATAGAATAGAATAGAATAGAATAGAATAGAATAGAATGTTTGGTTGGTATTCAAAGTCCAGATGGCCCATGGGAAGAAACAGTTTTTGAGTCTGTTGGTGGTCTCTTAGTGCTCCTGTACTTTCTGCTGGAGCGCAGCAGGCTGAGCGGGTGACCAGGGTGAAGGTGGTCTTTGAAGATCCTCTTTGCTCTGCAGAGACAGTAGGTGCTGGCGATGTTGTTGAGGGAGGGGAGAGGACAACCAGTTATTTTCTCCGCAGTCCGGATCACCCCCTGCAGCCTCTTCTTGTCAGCAGTGGAACCAGAGTTCCACGTAAGAATGGCTTTGCAAGCACGATCTCTGTGGTGGAGTGATAGAAAAATACCAACAGCTTAGTCTCCGAGTTGTTTCCGTCTGAGTACTTTCAAGCAGTGGAGTCGCTGCTGGGCCTTCTTAACCACCGCTGTGGTGTTGACCGAACAGGAGAGGTTTGCTGAGATGTAGGTCCCTAAGAATTTAAAGTGGGAGACCTTCCCCACGCTGTCACCGTTGATGTGGCGTGGTGCAGAGGCAGCCTTGCTCCTCCTGTAGTCTGTGACCAAAATAAACAGTCTTGTCACTAATGACATATGGACAAAAGTGTTCCTTCCTGATGGCTACATTTTTTATGGTGCTGCAGATAAAACATTAAAGTGATCTGAGCATGCTCTGCTGTCAGGTAGCTGGACTTCCAACAAGAATCCACCACAATTATATGTTTTTATAATAAGCTGAGCGCATTTACCTTCAGTCAGTAAAAGATAAAAGAGAACTTCAAAGAATTATATTTAGTGAGACTTTGTGCTATTTATATTTATTTGCCATATGATTATCACTGTCTAAGCTATGTTGTGAACCATGTGAAGAGATCTTTGCCCTGTGGATTGCCACCAGTCTCTGTGGATTAGATGCCACTAGTTGTCATACGAATATTATCTTGGCTTGGAGATCAGCAACACTTTGTTGTGTCCTTAAGCACTTTTTAAGCATTCTTTAGGGTCCACAGCTGTTTGGTGGGGATGGTGGGCTCAACAGTGAAGATTTTTTTAAACATGCCATTTAAATTGGATTATTGTGCATTGTTACAGCCTTTTCCCCAACTCTGGCTTGTATATTTTATTTTAAATTAAGGAGGGATGGGGGCAGTTCATTTCTGCCAGTGGTATTGATTGTATAAATGTCGAGATGGTGACGGCACGGTTTTTCCAACATCAGGCTTGTACGACAAAATGCTAATTTGGACAATTTAAGGGAAACTCTTGGTTTGGAAACTAAATAAAACCCTAACAAATGTATAATTACAATGACTGATCAATAGCGTGGTTGCTGTAAAGAGACCACTGTTATTTTTGAAATAGTACACTTTACAGGAGTTTTAGGATGCAGATTAAACAATTCTGACTTGATGGGTTTATTTATTTGGAATTTTATAAAATTAGGCAGAGATGTCTAATGCTACTGATACAGCAGACACAGCATGACGTATCTGACTTCTAATATTAGCAGCTGTAATTGATGCTTTGCCTGCTGTAAAACTGATATTTGTGATAGAAAAAAAGGTGGTCCACATCTGAATTAAATTTTTTTGTCTGTTTGTGTAGAGGCACTTGCCTGTTAATCACATATTTTCTGTGTAAAATAATAAGATAGGCTTGAATAAAACATTCAAAGTGATTTTTTTACATGCTTTTAGCTCACAGAG